GGGGGTTCAGTGGGGACCTGGCAAAGATAAGAACAAAGCAGCGACCTGCCTTGAAGTTCTGTTTTTTATTAGATCTAAACTGTTGGTCTGAACTTTTTTTGAAGTATTTTCATATCAAACAGACATTTTTAAAAAAACGTTTTAACGAAGCGATGTTTCCATTTACGATACGTATCGATATTCTACAGCGCTGTCCTGTCAGTTTTCCTACAATTATACGGTTAAAAAAATTCAATACATTGTTGTGTCTGTAGTATTGCAATATATCGCAATATATATCGTACCGTTGCCCCTGTATCGTGATACGTATCGTATCGGCTTCTGATGATTTCTCCTCCTCTTCCTCCTCTACGTTTTACTTCCGATGTTTCTTCGTTTCTTCGTCCGATGTTTGGTTTCGTGACGACTTTTATTTTCATTTTCACCAAAAACTCCATTCTCTCCCTGATTTCTTCACTTTGAGTGCAGGTTAAACGTTAGAAATGACGTCATCCAGCAGGCCTGTTTTTGAACAACAGGCCTGTTTTTGAACAATGCCGTGAAACACCTCCCTTCCTCTCTCCCTCCCTCCCTCCCTCCCTCCCTCCCTCCCTCCCTCCCTCCCTCCCTCCCTCCCTCCCTCCCTCCCTCCCTCCCTCACCCATCACCTCACACCCTGCACTAACTCACCCTGAACTCATTTCTGCTGCTTCTGCCTTTTCTCCCCGACTTTCACTTCATCAAATGTGAGAAACAAAAAATAAAAAAAAAAAAAAAAAAAACTCTCCTCCACCTTGTTTTTCTTTGGAGAGGTGACTTCACCTCCCCTGCCCCCCCCTCTCCCCCTCTCTCTCTCTCTTTCGTTTTCCTCTGTCTTCCATCCTGTCTCATCAGCTGTTCTGGAGTTCTGGGGGCGGCCTCCGCCTCCTCCTCCTCCCCCCCCTCTCCCCCCTCCTCTCTCTCTTTGTCTCGGCCCCCAGGGCTAGCTGGCTAATGCTAGTCGCCCCCCACTCTTCATCACTTTGTGGCCAACTTTGGACTAGGCCACTCGTGCTCCGAGGCGTTCCATACTGCCCGCTGTAAGCCGCGGGGCCGAGGGTGGGGAGGGCGGGGGACGCAGGGAGGGAGGACTACCCCCGGTGCTTGTCGGGAGCTGGTGCTGCTGCACGGGCTGATGGCGATGGACGGCGGCCAGCAGATCTGTGAGTGAGAGAGTGAGAGAGTGAGAGAGTGAGAGAGTGAGAGAGTGGATGGAGGAAAACAATAAATACCAGCAGCGGCAGCAGCAGGAGCAGCAGCAGCAGGAGGAGCAGCAGGAGGAGCAGTGGCGGCGGCGGTACAGCCGGGTACCGGGAGGTCGGGGGTTCCTCCTCTGTGATTTATGTGTTTGGGTGGAAAAACTGTCAGGAGCAGAAACAGAAACAGGAGCGGCCTGAGATTTTACTTCCAGCTCTTTAATAATCACAGACACGATGTTCACGGAGAAGGTGGAGGAGGAAGAGGAGGAGGAGGAGGAGGAGGAGCGGCCCGGGGATGCTCGAAAATTTTCATCCCGGTTTTTATTTTTTATCTCAGGGAAAAGGAAATGTTGACAGTGCGGTCAGCAGCGGATGGATGACTGTTTTGGAGTGTGTGTGTGTGTGTGTGTTTGGGGAGGGGGGTGAGGCGGGGGGGGGGGGGGGTTTAGGGGGGGAGGGGGGAAGG